TTTTTCCTACTCTTTTCCTTCCCCTCCAAAAATCCCTACTCAATTTTTTGATAAAAAACACAGCCTTACTATTTACTTGTCAAGTCATCATGTGTTGTTTAGAACAAAACCAAGTAAAGAAAAATTTTAAAAAATTAAAATTAAAACATAACAAAAAGGAAAAATGAGAATCAAGAAGGGTGTACCTGTAGTAGGCAAGCAATATATCAGTTGTAGGCATCGGAAAGGAAATGTCGTTCATGGATGAAGCAATCCTATTTCCATCCAATGACATGTAAGAAATGGTTTTGGAAAATATGATTTTGCCTTAACTTTGGTCTGTTTTTTAGGTGAGACCCATATGCCAAAGTTGGCGGAACTAAGTTGTAACGCGTTTTATGCCGCGTTGTGATTCACGTGGTATATTTGGTTGCTCAAAATCATTATCGGGTGAATGTGAAATTAAACCCAAAGAGAACTCTATGGAAATGGTGTTTTTGGTGAAATTTCCTAAAGGTTTGGTTTAAGGCTTGTCCCACGTTAATTTGGTAGGCAACCTTTGAGTGGGTTTATAAGGCTTGAGTTTAGAACTAGGGGTAGGCCCCAAGGGGCACCTAAGTTTTGTAGAGCAGGAAGTTATGGGCAAAGTGGGCTAGACCCATTGAATCCAAAATAAACACGTGCACCACCATCCATCCAAGCGGGCTGGGCATGGGTGCGGGTGCGTGGTGTGAGGTTGGGTTGGGCTTGTACGGCCTAATACCTATCTTTCTGGACAAAAAATATTTGAATTTAATTTTATTTTTTAGTAAAATAAAATCTATCCAAAATTCGAAATTAATTCCGAAATCTGTCCAGTTTTCCCTCCACCCAAACAGTTCGCATCTGTTGAAACAGTGCCTTACCTGTTCAAATTCAAACCACACCTGTTGGATTCAAATCTGTACAGCCACCTTTACATTTATAAATAGGTAGTCCTTCACTTGGTTTTTTCACTTAATTTTCGTCCAAAAATTCTGCTTGCTCTCTTTGCATTTTGTTGCATTTAATTTTCTGTGAGAAAAGAGTGTAAACACAAAGTGTGTTCGTTATGCGAATAATTTGTAGTGCTACTATTATTCGCAGTTGATCATTTTATCCTGGGAGATAGACGTCCACAATCTAAAAGCACCATAAAGAGGACAAATCTGTCTTAAGGACACAGTGTTAAACACTGGACTTGTTTAATAAAATTTGTTCAACAAATTAATTTGGTAAGTAATTAATTTACTTTCTGTTTTATTATTTTTTCTGTTTCAGATTTTGATTTTATTTTTGTAACAAAATAAAAATTTGTTTTTATTTATTTATTTATTTTATGTTCTAGTTTGATTTTTGTAATCAAACAATCTCTCTCATTTTCTTTATTTCTTCTGTTTGTTGTTAAGTACACAAACATAATTTATTCGTAATACAGTAAAGGTTGTCCAACATGATAAACATTAAGTATTTGGGCAAACAACCGGGTGGTCTACCGGGTGGTCATCCGGTGGACAGAAAACACGCCTGTGTGCGCAGAGTTCTCTGCAGAGAGTGTAGAAAATTGATTTGAAAACGTAACCAAACATGATGCTCCAAAACACACGTAGAAAATTGATTTGGGAATACAAACAAACAGAGCCAAGTATTTGGGCAAACAATCACTTTCTCAGAAACAACTATAAACATAGGGTGACTAATTTTTTGTGGCACAAATACAGGATGTTCTTCGCTGGCTAAGCTCCTTAAGATGGATAAAAATTCATTCCCAGCCAAAATCAATGTCTCTTTGGAAAGGAAGGTTGGATGGGAAGACAGGGTCCGAAGGGGGAGTATTGTCACCGCTGTACTCTATAACTGCTGTGGTAGCATTATCTACATCGGCTGTACCAACGGTAACGAATTGTCTAGCTGCCATGTAGTAGTGACCAAGAGGCTGATTTGCCGTGAGTAGGACATTCATGGTTTGCCCTAGGGATATCGCCAAGTATGGTGTGGATATGGGTTTGAGGTAGCTCCCATCCATTCCAACGACAGTGACATTGTGGTCAGCAATCGCGAAGAAAAATTCAAAATCCACAGCTGCGTTGATTATGTGGAGAAGATAGGTTTTACCATCATCAACGCTCATCCGAAATATTGTTTCTGCTGCATAACAGCAAGAATTATCAACTTACGATATTCAAAGTATCTTTCACATGCTTTCTGGGCCAACACTATATAAAATATCTCCATCTATAAATGCACGCGGAGAATATTTTGATTCAATTTAAACTTGACAGAATTTATCAATAGCCTAAGGTTGGGGAGAGGGAACAGGAGAAGGAAAAGGAAAGTATCCCCAAAATTCAAATTTAAACCATGTGTCAAACTTTCACAATTTAAGATACAACCACCTTCACAGAGTAAAATGAAAAAACTTCAAAAGGACTACTTCAAGACGCATCCACGGTGTAATACTCATTGCAACATCAAGTATATCTAACTATAATGTATTACTATTCTATAAGTAAACCTTCGATGAGATTGCTGTGAGAAGAGATAATGTTGTCATAAAAAGTCGAAGCATGGAAGCAAAATGTGCATTGTTAGAAAATGGCATGCCCATTCCAAAATCCCTTAAGATAAATGGCATGGCTAGCAAAGTCTCGAAATCATTTGAAAACAAAGGGAGACGCACTGGTATCAATCGGCATCTTAATTTTAAAAATTCCATTGGCATCTATTTCCTAAAAAACCTATAAGGTAAATGCCTTATTCATGAAGAAACATCAAGTAATTTTTAAAATTTGTGGAAGGTATGTAGCGGCGAAACTAGGCATTTTTTATTTATTTATTTTTAGAATGGAGATTCCGTTTACGATTTGTTGCCTTCAAAATTGTCATTGCTCAATATGGCCTAGTAATCTTACACATTGGACTTGTTAGATTGTCATGGATTGGAAAGAAAATTAATTTTGTCCTCTGATGATGTTATCAGGATGTCATGAAAGATTGTTCATTAACTACCTTCTTCAAATTGCAACTTACGTTTAGTAAAATGTTAAAGATCAACGGTCAATCATGATTTCCACCGCAATATTTATTCTAGTGAGACACACGCAAATAGTCACGACATACCACTAGAACAATTATAGAAAGCTCCTGGTTGGCCATTGATGACATAAGAATCTGCCCGTGGTAAGTCTGCCCCTATGGAGAGATCATAATGAAGGTTTTTGTTCACATCAAAAACAAACCAAGATCCTAGAAGTACAAAAAAAAGCAGATGAATATCTATAGGAGAAAAAATAATCACAAGTGAAGAGAGTAAAAGAATAAAATTTGTACTTAATCTAATAAAGCTTTATGACACAGATGCTATACTTCATTAAGTTTAAGGGATTCATTTGATTGCACAATATCATCAATATATCTAGGTTACCTTTTAAGAGGGAGGTTTACGACCTAATATTGGGCCAAGCTAGTTTGGGCCAGAGGCAAAGTCCTTGCTCGGTCAGACATTGGGTGCACATTGGACCGAGGATTCAGTCCAGTCGAGTTGGAACAACTTTGGATCGCCAATCCGGAGAAGATGTGCGCACTACAGAGTTGGACAAAATTAGTCGTCTCAACGTCAGGATCGACTGAGCAGGAGCCTGGTCACGACTAAAGAGCTCGGTCTAACCATGGTGTGGAATTATCAAGGAAACCGGACAAGTAGAACGGTCGTAACGTGATGGCGTGGCGTCGCACTAAACATAGCTCGGTGGAGAGTACTACGCAGTGCCACGGGATTGTAGGAAGGAGGTTCTGCGGTCCATACGCGTCAATTCCGTTTGGCGATTTTGTTAGGTGGCGTTAGCTATATTAGTGCTGGCACGTGGAGAAATATGAGAGGAAATGAGGTCCACGGGTCTAGAGGGGAATGGGCACAAAAGCGCGCGCAGAAACTATATAAACGACGCTTCACCTTAATACTCAGGTCTGGAACATCCTCTAATCAGAGCTCACCTACCACTATGTCTCCTCTCTTTTCTCTCTCTCTAAGTGTGCCAACTTGACCGTCAGAGGGGTTTTCCGGCAGCACACTACCGGGTAGCTCACCATCATTGTGTTCTCAGGTCGATCGGAGTGAAGAGAAACTTTGACACGAGGAGTACAGATAACGTCGGTTATTTGGCTGCCGTACAATTGGCGCCATCTGTGGGAAGTCTCCGACAAACAAAACCTTGTCCTCCAAGCTCTTCCCATCATCTTTCATGGCGAACAATGACGAAGTCCCACTGTCCGCTAATGACGGCATCACTCCGGAGTCCATTCGGAGAAGAGATGGTCTTCCCGTCATCCCTACCATGGCTAGCCTGGAGACCTCTCCTAGAGGGCTCCCCAGAGATACGCGAGACAAGCGTGTAAGAAGCACGGACCGCTCACAGAGTCCCGACAGGCACCAGTGACGAAAAGAGTCGCATAAGCTAAGAGACCAAGACGCCATCATTCAAAGGATGGTAGCGGAGATGGAGGCCCTAAAGCGGTAGGTTAAAGGGAAGGGTGTTGCTAGAGTGGGTAACCACAGTGAGCGCACCCAACCCTGTCGCTCGGGTAGCCAAAACTAGTAGCGGGCACCCTCCCTCTTTATCACCAGAAGTTATGGGGTTGGTGACTCTAACCCGCCAGCAAAGAAGTCTTGCACGCGAGACAGTAGTTACTGTCCCTCACGCCCATCGACGACATCGAGATATTCCTACTCCGCCTATTTGGAAGACCTAAGGGACGTCTTAGAAGAACGAACGAGCCGGCAGGAGGCGGAAAAGGTGCTAGCGTTGTAGCGGTTAACCCACGGAGGTCGCACCAATGAAGAAGTCGTAGTGCTACCACTACGCCCAGCTGTACATGTCCCTTTGGACAGAGATTTGGTGAGGTTGAGTGCCACTCCCTTCTCTACGGACTTTCACTAGCCCAAGTTTACGCTCTACGACGGAAAAACTGATCCATACATGCACATGAGCCACTTCCGGAAGGTTATGGCTAGATACAAGCGTAACAATGCTCTTATGTGCCTTATTTTCCGGTCAAGTTTGGATGAGATGGGCCTGAAATGGTTCGAGAGACTATCGGAGGAAAGTAATGAAAGGTGGCAGCAATTGGTGGAAGCGTTCGTAACCCGATTCAAAACCAAAACCAAAACGCCGAAGGAAGTCGACCACCTTCTGAGCGTCAAGATTGAACCGGGCGACTCCCTCAAAGCATACAACGCCAAGTATTGGGAAATCTTCAACAAAATCCTTGATTGCCCAACCAACCTGGCAATCACCCAATACAAGCGCAGTCTTCCAGTCGGACATAGACTGAGGGACTCACTCGCCATGAACCAACTGACGACCATGGAACTACTAATACAACGCATCAATGAGTACATCCGAGTAGAGGATGATGCTACCGCGGCCACCGCAAAGGCAAATCCGATGGCAACGGACAAAAGGGTGGTCGGAAAGGTTCACGCGGTCGGACAAAAGGCAAACCGTCCGAGCAACCGCAAAATAGAATCAAACCGAGGTCGTTGCAACCGGGGTAAGGGTCATCGTAGTGACCAAGCTGACTATTCCCGTGATGCCGCAAAAGATGCGAAGAGAAAGTTGAACTCCCGAACAAGCATCACCACGGTTTTTAAAATCTCAATCTACCGTATCGTCAGCGAAATTTGTAACGAGCTGTACGTCCGGTTTCCAGCTAAGTTCGGCGATGCATAGAGGGGCTTCAATTCGCGATATCACTACACCTTTCATGGCGAGTGAGGGCACCGTAATAAGGACTGTATGCCTTTGAAACAACATTTAGAAGAGTTGGTGGCCACTGGCCACTTGGATCGTTACATTGACGGAGGCGTCAAGGCCGCGCCCCACGCTCCAGCTGAGCCAAATGGTTTGGCTACGCTAGAAGCACCCTCCCAAGGCGTGATCAATGTGATCCATGGTATCATCAAGCCAGCGCAGGTATGCGAGCTCCGAGTGATGATCAAAAAACTAGAGCATATAAGGGAACTCCTGTCAACCCAGCCCGTGGTCAAAAAGAGCAAAACCGAGGTGAAAGATGTGCTCAGCTTTTCAAGCTGACATCTTGAACGAATTCAAACACCGCACAATAATGCTCTAGTGGTCACCCTTTGCGTCAGGGAGTTTGACATTAGGCGTATTCTAATCGACCAGGGCAGTTTGGTTGAAATAATGTACTACGACGCATTCAAGCAACTCAAGCTAAGTGATAAAGACTTGGCCCCGGCGACCTCACCACTGGTCGATTTCAACTTGCAACCGAAGTGGCCCATGAGAAAGATCATCTTACCAGTCAAAGTCAGATCTGTGGTCAAGTAGGTGGAGTTCTGGGTATTGAATGTGCCTTCCACATACAATCTGATCCTAGTCAGAGGATGGCTTCACGCCATGCAAGCGGTGGCTTCGACCTACCACCAAGTTATGAGGTTCCCCTCTGCTACGGGGGTAATTGAAGAGATTTGGGGTGATCAAGTCATGGCCAAGCAGTGTTTCGTGGCCATGAATGGGAGCCGAGCAGCCAAAGGCTTCATGCAAATGATCAAAGGATCGGAGATCAAAGTGTCCTGGATGATATGGGTACTAGGGCCGAAGAAAAGGCTGTTGAAGACTTGGTGGAGGTAAGGATCAACGAAGATAATCTTGAGAAGTTCTTTCTGTTGGGAACCATCCTGACTACCCAAGAACGGCTGGAGATGGTTGAGTTTTTTATGGCAAATATCGAACTATTTGCATGGACGCCTCACGACATGCTCGGCGTCGATCCAAACTTTATTTGCACCAACTCAACATCTTTCCGAATGCCCGGCCTGTCATTCAAAGAACGCGGAGATCAGCACTTTATCACACCAAGGTAGTGGCAGAAGAGGTCAAAAACTTGCTTAAAGCGAGGGCAATCCAGGAAGTGCACTTCCCTCGGTGGGTTTTCAATACGGTCCTGGTGCCAAAAAAGAACGACAAATGGCGAGTTTGTGTTGACTACAAGATGGTCAACCACGCTTGCCCCAAAGACAGTTTCTCCTTACCTAGAATCGACCAACTGGTGGACCTTACAGCCGGACACAACCTACTCAGCTTCTTAGACACTTACCGCAGTTATCATCAGATCGCCATACATGAGCCTAACTGGGAGGTTACCTCTTTCACAATGCCAAGGGGGTTGTTCTGCTATCGGGTTATGCCTTTCGGGTTAAAAAATGTCGGGGCGACCTTTCAAAGGATGGTCGTGAAGATGCTCGCTCCCTTGCTCGGCCAAAAAATGGAGGCCTATATCGACGACATGGTTGTGAAGAGAAAACGTGAAGCCGACTACCTGTCTGACTTGGTGGAGATGTTCGACATTCTTAAACAACACCAGTTGCGTCTGAATGCGTCGAAATGTGCCTTCGGTGTAGGGTCGGAGAAATTCTTGGGCTTTCTGGTCGCTAATCGCGGCATCGAGGCGGACCCCTCCCAAATCAAGGCCATACAAGAATTGAAGCAACCCAACTCGGCAAAGGACATTCAACGAATTTCCGGGATAGTAGCAACGCATAACCGATTTATAAGCCGATCATCAGATCGTTGTCGCCCTTTCTTCCGAGCCTTGAAGTCCAAGTTTTCATGGAACGAAGAATGTGACAAAGCCTTTGCCGAGCTAAAGACATACCTATCTTCCGCTCCACTCTTCGTCACACCGAAGAACGGTGAAGAACTCTATCTTTATCTAGTTGTTTCTCAACATGCCGTAAGTATGGTGCTTGTTCGAGCAGAAGGCATCCAACATCTACCGATCTTCTACGTAAGCAAAACCTTGCTCCCAGCGGAGTCGAGATACTTGCCACTGGAGAAACTCACCTTGGCACTAATGATGGCCTCAAGGAAATTGGCACACTACTTTCATGCTCACACAATCGTGGTGCTGACCGAGTTCCCTTTGAAAGCCTTGTTCGAAAGGGCAGGCTTCTCCGGCCGAATCCTGAAGTGGGCAGTCGAGTTAGGGTAATTCAACGTCAAGTTTCAATCCCGAATAGCCATCAAAGCCCAAGCATTGGCTGACTTTGTTGCAGAATTCTCACCCAGAATTCACCCGATCTGCTTGGTGAACTTACTGACGCAACCGAGCTGCAGGGGGTAAGCATGACAAAAATCACACAGCCTCCAATCCAACCGAACGTTGAAGGCAACATGGAAGTTGCGCGCCCGTCTACAAACCCATCACTTGAAGGCTTACTTCAACCTAGCAATGCTCCGTTGGATTTGGGAATAACAGGACAACCTGTTGGATCTAACGCCGCATCGCCGAGGGGGGATGAAGGCATGTTTGTTGCAATCGTCAACGATGCGCTTGCCGCGGAAGTAGCCAAGCAACCGAGCAACTCTGATTACCTGAACCTTCAAACGTCCCAGGACCCTGCAAAATGTTGGAAGCTTTTCATCGGCGAAATGTGAAAAATTTTTGTCGATGGCGCCTCAAATAGGCATGGAGCCTGGCTGGGAGTAGTCTTGATCTCCCCAAATGGACTAACCATTGAACATTCCATCACGCTAGGATTTTCTGCGTCAAACAACGAGGCTGAGTATGAAACGCCGCTAGCTAGACTAAAAAGTGCTCTTCAAATGCAAGCATCCGAGCCAATAGTCTACAGTGACTTCCAGCTTGTTGTAAACCAAGTATCTGGGGAATACAAAGCCAAAGATGACAGAATGGCCAAGTACCAAACTTTGGTAAGAGAGCAAATCAAGAAATTCTAAGCCATAAGAGTCCAACAAATTGGCCGAGAAGATAACAGCCGGGCAGATGAGTTGGCCAGTTTTGCTTCCATGGCCGACAAATCAACTCCCAACCCTCTGCTGATTGAATTCCTCCTAAGACCTAGCATTGAAGACTCAGAGCAGACGGAAGTTCTCTGCACCAAGCAAGGTCCTTCTTGGATGGGCCCTATCATTCTTTTCCTTAAAGAAAGGATCTCGCCAACCGACAAGAAAGAAGCACACAAAGTCTGGGTGAAGTCTGAGTGATTTTGGCTCTCTCCATCTGGTGCTTTGTATAAGAAGTCATTTACCGGTCCATACCTCAAGTGTGTTCACCTAAACAGAGTTAATGCTTTCCTTTACGAGATCCATAAAGACATGTATGGAAGCTATGTTGACGGGAGATCTTTACCCTACCACGCTATTTCACAAGGATACTGGTGGCCGTGCATGTAGGCAGATTCATTGAAATATGTGAGAAAATGCGAGAAGTGCCAGAAGTTCACCCACCAAATTCATCAACCGGCTAGAGAGCTCTTTTCTCTTCTAAGTCCTTGGCCTTTCGCAATATAGGGGCTTGACATAGTGGGACCACTCCCAACCGCGCCAGGCAACCGCAAGTTCTTCCTAATGATGACAGACTACTTCACCAAATGGGTCGAAGCCGAGCCCTTAGTGACAATTAAAGAAAAGAATGTAAAGAAGTCTGTTTAGCAGAACGTGATAACGTGGTTTGGAGTCCACAAGGCTTTGATCTCCAACAATGGCACCCAATTTGATGGACGGTTGTTCAGAGGATTTTGTGAGGAACTAAAAATAGAATTCTATAATTCCACACCGGCCTACCCTCAGTCCAACGACCAAGCCAAAGCATCAAACAAGACCATTCTAGATGAGCTAAAGAAAATGTTAGAGAAAGCCAAAGGATAGTGGGCCGAGGAACTTCTAAATGTCATCTGAACTTACCAAACAATGCCAAGATAGTCGACCAGGGAGATGCCTTTTGCCTTCACATATGGTATAGAGGCAGTCATCCCATTGGAGATCGGTATGCCTACTATCCTGTGGCTCCCCTTTTTTGCGCCCCCTTTCGGAAGGTTTGAAAGAAAGGCCACACAGTTCAGACTCCCGTGGTTCTGAATCTAATCTCACAAGTGCAATGTGAAACTGATAAACACCAAAGAGTCCAAATCCGGAAAATCGTTTTGGAAAATTGATTTTAGGATCAAAAATGCCAAAATTGGACTGCTTTGCTAGATATAGAGTCGCCACCTAAATATTTTTTATTTTGGAGAAATTTAGGAAACCCTGACTCGTGCCGAAGGCCACGTGTCCATCATCACCAAAGTTGCCTCTGCTCTGGAACTTAGGTACGATGGGGAAAGGTCATGAATTGAGCACCCCTGCTCGCCTGATCAAAAGATCGGCCTCTACTAATCATGATATGATCTTTTATAAGCATTATGTGTTCTTATTCCGATTATTAAGCTAGCTTTACTATATGATGCGCACAAGCAAGTATAGACTAGTTTGCTCAATTTGGAACAATTCAACTATTGTTTGTTTGCGAAAATAGTTTGAATTTGCCACCTCAAGTGGGCTTAAAGATTGCGGATTTACCACGAAACATAGTGGGCTTAAAACATGATTTGTCACTCAACAAAGTGGGCTTAAAACGTACATTCATTGAATCGTTCCAATTCAAACAAGCCTTCATCCACAAGTATACAAGCAGTTTTAGCATTTAAGCACATAGCCTCATGGCAAGCATGCTAATCATGGCAACAATCACACTCATGTAAGTATGTTAAAGCGTAAAACTCACCTAATACTCCGAGTTAAGAAGACAAAGTTAGAGAAATATGCATGATCCCTAACTATGTTAAGTGTCTAATGCAACTCATGCAATATGAAATTAATAGGCTCGGCTACTAATATGGCATATGAAGCAATTTGATAACATGCGA